TCTTCCTCATCTGTAATTGAAAATAGCGTAACCACAACGAGAACTCTCAGAATATGAGTTTTATTTGCTCGAAACTTTTTCAGCCTGATGTCCATCATCATAGCTTCTAAGTATATTCACCATTAATTTCAATGCTACACACGGAAAGAGGTGGACTGATATTTTTGGCATTTAAAAATACTGTAAATACTAGTCTAACTCGATGCGGAGTATCTATCAAAATGATTTAATTTATTATTAATATCCAATAATTATAGAATTTACACCAAGCTGCGGGAACTTCGCGATTTAGGTTGCGAAATGTGAAAGTCATCTTGCGCTTTCCTTACAGCCCGTCGTAGTTTCATCACTCCTGTCATGCAAGGGCGTATCTCGATTTCAACATAAGCCCTAAAAAGCATGGATTTGCATGTAAAACAGGTTTCACTCAGAAATCGAGGTACAGAGAGGTGACGGTTAATAGAAAAGTTTTTTGGGTTATTGTGTGTTCGTGATGGATGAATTAAATCCCAATATTATGTCTTCTATTACTGGTTGAATCATGGGTGGGTTTGCTTTTTTCATATTTTCGCATGCCTGATCTTTCACTCTACGTATTTTAGTTCACTCTGAACTTTTTCGGAACACCATTCGAGACTGTTTCCTGAAGTTCTGACTGTCCTGTAGGCACCCTCATAATTGCACGTGTGACCATAGTGACCATATCAGTTCGATTCACACTACTTTGAAACAGAATAAATGCATTCAAATTTAATGGTATATCACATACCGACTTAAGGTAACAGTTAAGTAAAGTCATGCCCTGGGTAAAAAAATTATTACATCCTAACCAAACTAAACTCCTGACTGATTCAGGTGCCAGATATAAGTGTGGTTGCCCCAGTTAGAGGCACGGTTCTTTAAGCTGACTTATTCTTGATACAAGACAAATAAGGCTTGGGTTAAGCAAAAAAGTAGCTTATATTAACCAGAAAAATTCTTGACTTAAGAAGAAATACTTCTTGGCGGCAAATGTAAGATTCTTTTTTTCCCAGTGCACTGCAGTGTAGTTGGAGTCTCATTGTTTGTGACTGAATAGAGTTTTGACGATGCTCTTGTGTAGAACGATTGACACATTGTCACTTTCGTTCCTGTAATGGCCTAGTTCGACGTTTGATACCCATCCAAATTTGCATCAAATACCATTCTGCGTTTACGAAGAAGGCTTTCGTTGGCGGAGAATCCAGTCGTCACCGACTATGTTAGTTACTCAATGGAGTTGTGCCGATGCTTTTATGTAGAACAATTGACGTACCTGTGTTACTTTCGTTCCTATAATGACCTAATTTTGACGTTGAATACCCATTAAATTTTGCATCAAATACCCGTAATGCAGTGACGAAGATGGCTTCTATTCGCGGAGAATCCAATCGTCATTGATTGTTTTAGTGACTAAATGGAGTTTTGACGTTGCTTTTGTGTAGAGTAGAATGATTGACACACCTGTGTCACTTTAATTCCTATAATTGACTAATTTTTACGTTTGATACCCATCAAAATTTGCATCAAATATCCATTCCGCGGTGACGAAGAAGGCTTCCATTGGCGGAGAATCCAGTCGTCACCGACTGCGCGCGGCGGAGTGATAAAAGATTAGCTCGGAGCGTGCAATACCGTCGAAAAATTAAGTAAATAGGAGGGCAGAGCCATTCGGGGGACTATTAAACTCCGCCCCGCGCGATCCCGGCCGCTCTTTAAATAGTTTTATCACGTATCCGCGGGCCCCCGGGCGAGGGGCACGCAACCCCCCGCCCCCGGCTCACGATCCCCTGGCAAACAAAAAATAGCTGCAGCAAATAAAATCACGAGGGCAAATACGAGGGGGTGGATAGTGGCCAACGAAAGTACCCGCGGAAAAGGACCCCGCGCCATCCGGGAAGTCGAGATACTCATAACTGATAAGAGACGCAATGTAAATAATTCCGCGCATTGCGTTTTGTCTGCTCGCATCTTCCCCC